GCGCGTTCCGCACGAGCAGGGACTCCATCCGAAACCTCCCTGGCCCCAGGGCTGCCCCCCCGCCCCCGAGGGTTCTAAGGGGTCAACGGCGGCATCGCGCGGAGGGCTGCCGCGTAAGAAGAGAGCCTGCCGGGTGACCTTCCATCGCCGTGAGGGCGCGGAAGTGGCCGAAGTCAACGGTGCGCCCAGGCAGGCAGAGAAAGCCGCCCGACGCAGACGGCGCGCGACAGGCAGAGGACGCCGCGCCCTGACGGCGCATCGGCCGAAAAAACTGCGACCGTGCAGGTGCGCCGTGCGTGCCTTCGCGAATTGCCCCCTGTTCTGGCGGCCGCGGTAAGTCTGCGGCCAGGCAGAGTTTGCGATCGGGCAGAGCCCAGCGGCCGAGCTGGGGAGAGGGCGCCCCGCGCGCGCGTCAGTCGCTCGGAATGCGCCCGCCCTTGCTCTCGACCACCCCGGCAGCCTTGGCCTTCATCTTCGCGACTGCCGCCCTAGTGGACGCTGGGATGCCCGTAGCGGCCCTGCGCAATCGACTCTTGTAAGCAGTCTGGCTCGTATGTGTTAGAAAGGCCGCCAGAAAAGCTTCCATTGAGAATGCGCCCATCCCCCCCTTCGGACGTTTCCCTTCGGACGATTTTCCCTGGGATCTTTAACTTGTTTGTGTGTGTGTGCTTTTTGTTGTGCCAATGTTTCTCCTACGCGGCGCATTGTCGACTCTCGCAATAATACAAAAAGGGCCCCAGGTCCGCGCAACACATTATCAACTCTCGCATCGCCCAGCCGGTTCTTGTAAGGTCCCAGCCTCCAGCACTTCCTTTCGTTTTTTTTTCGATTTTTAGAAAGGGCTCACAAAGTTTGAGCATTTCTTGGAAACGAAGAGGAGGAGAAAGAAGGAGGAGGAGGGAACGAGGAGGAGAAGGAACAGGAGGGGGACGAGGGGGAGGAAGAGGACCGGTGTGAACCTAAGACGCATCAACGATATTGGAATAAACCCTTCCTCCAAGCTCCCTCTTCATAGGCCCCTGCAAAGAGGAATCGCTCCGCTGGGAAACAACATCTTGAAGATCCTGAAACGGGCGAAAACACCATTCTCGGGATTCGAACGCCACGAATCAACCTGACTGTTGCGTACTGACGATCCTGAACTCTGCCAGAACACCATTCCTGGGACTTCAGCACCGCGAATCAACGTAACTGTTGCGTCAAACGCTCATAAACACAATTTCTGGTACGCTGACCACGGGAATCCGCGAAACTCTGGAAACGTTAAAGACGACTGTGCGCGGCGCACAAGCGAGAGCCACATTTTGAAAACCACCCGCCCTCAGTCCGTGAAACTCTCGCAAGTGTAAAAAACGAGCGCGCGCAGGGCTAAGGCGACGGCCACATTGTGAAAACCGCCCGCCGTCGATCAATGGAACTCTGGCAAATTTCAACAATGTATGTGCACAAGGCGAGAAAGACATATTGAAACCCACCCGCCCTCATCCCTTGACACGCATGCAAGATTTGAAGACGAGCGTGCGCGGCGCTAAGGCGACGGACACATTTTGAAAACCACCCGCCGTCGATCAGCACAGCTCTTGCAAACTTCTAAAACGAATGTGCGCGGCGCTAAGGCGAGAGCCACACTTTGGAAACCACCCGCCCTCAATCCGTGAAACGACTGCCAATGTTTCAGCGTCAGGGCCATTAGTGGTGAGGCAGTTGAGAGCGAAACGCCCAGCCCGCCCTTTCGACCTGCCTCGGTGGCGGCAGGAATGAGTGACTCATACAGGAAAGGAGTGGAGGAGGGGGAGGAAGAGGCAGGGAAGAGCGCCGAGCACCGAGGAGGGCCGAAAGCACCGAGGAGAATGTGCGGCCCCCCCCTTCGGACGTTGCCCTTCGGGCGGTGTTCCATGGGACCTGTGGTTTTGTTTTGATTGTTTGGGACGCTTCCCGTGGCGCTCCTAAAGTTTCAGCCTCGGCCTCCAGCACTCCAGCTGATGTGCTTGTTTTGGTGGTTCCTTTGTGCTTTCGTTTTCTACCGCCAACATAAGGTCTACACATGCAGATATATATACACACACGTATAAGTGTACTTCGCCCACAAGCCGAAACCTGTTGCCCCCCCCCCCGCAAAAGGGTGCAGAGAAGGAGGAGGAGGAGGAGGAGGAGGAGGAGGGAAGGAAGGAAGGAAGGAAGGAAGGAGGAGGGGGGAGGGGGAGGAAGACGAGAAGGAAGAATATGATGAGGCAGAGGAGTAGGAGAGGAGGAGGAGGAGGAAGGTAAAAGAGAAGAAGGAGAGATTGGAAGAGCTACACGGAGTTGGTAAGAGAGCGGTTCCAGTTGAAACCCTTTGAAAGACGAAAGCGCCACATACCCATCCAGTCTGGAACTGCTCCGCTTCGTCCCCCCCGTCCTCCTCGTCCGCATTCAATGCTATGATCGTCCTCATCAACATCATCCTACTCATCTGCCATCCTCTTGCTAGTCATCCTCATGCTCCTCCTTCTCCTCCATCTCCTCCTCCTCCTCCTTCTCCTCCTCCTCCTCCTGCTCCTCCTCCTCCTCCCCGTCCTCCTCATCCTCCTCGTCCTCATCCTTCTCCTCCCCTATCTTTCTGGTCCTCCTCCGAACTCCTCATCCTCCATCCCCGTCCACCTCCTCCTGTCGCACCACCAGACGAGTCCGTAGGCCAGGCCGGGTGCTTGGCTTGAGACATTCTCTCAACTTGATAATGAGGGCTGGTCGTTTACAAAATGCGGCTCTCGATTTAGCGCCACGCAAACTCGCTTTAAACAGCCCCGACAATGCAAGGATGGTGGGCTGGTGGTTTTCAAAATGCTGCTCTCTCCTGAGCGCCGCGCACACTCGTTTTCAAAGCTCCAAAAAGTAACAAGGAACAAGGATGAAGGGCTGGTCGTTCTCAAAACTGCAGTTCTCGCCTTAGCGCCGCGCCCATTCCATTCAAAGGTTCCCAACAGCTACAAGGATGGACGCCAATTCGTATTGGAAATGCGGCTGTAGCTTTCGACGTCCTCAAGATCTATGACCTCGAATCCCAAACTGTGCGACACCTACATGGATGAAGGGAGGCTTCTTTTCAAGATTGGGTTTCCGCTTGAGGTCTCCTAGATTCTATGACCCAAAGTTATACTTTGGCACAACAGCTGTAAAGGTGGAGGGCGGCTCCTTTCCCAGACGGGTTTTCAATTCAGGCGATCCCAACTTGGACAAATAGAACTCTGAAGTTGCGCAAAACTTGCACAGGATGGAGGCAAATCCCTCACAGAACAGGGCCACCGCCGGACACATCCTGGACCTCTAGCATGTTTGCGCAACCTGTATCCGCAAAGATCGAGGGTGGATCATTTACACTATTTGTCTGTCGTCGGCGGTGAGGCAGCGTTGGCTGCACCAGGAGGAGGAGGGAGGGAGGAGGAGGAGGAGGCGGAGGAGGAGGAGGAGAAAGAGGAGGAGGAGGAGAAAGAGGAGGAGGAGGAGGAGGAGGAGAAAGAGGAGGAGGAGGAGGAGGAGGGACGAGGAGGACGAGGAGGCGGAGGAGGAGGAGGAGGACGAGGAGGAGGAGGAGGGCGGGGGACCAAGAAGCGGATTGGCCAGCGTGCGAGGGCGGATCCTTTACACGCTGGGGTCTCGCCGCGATCTCGCCCCAGTGGCAGGCCCAACGGGCGCTCGCCATTCCAGGGGGGGGCACTTCCCCTCCGCCTCCTCCTCCTCCTCCGCCTCCTCCTCCTCCTCCTCCTCCCTCCTCCTCCTCCGCCTCCTCCTCCTCTCCTCCTCCTCCTCGTCCTCCTCCTCCTCCTCCTCCTCCCCCTCCTCCTGCTCCTCCTGCTCCTCCTCATCCTCCTCCTTCTCCGCCGCCTCCTCCTCCTCCCTCTCCTCCTCCTTGTCCGCCTCCTCCGGTCGAGAACTTTTGCTCAGCGTGTCGCAGCGGCGGCTCCTGCGACACGCTATGCCTTGCGAGCGGATCGCGTGTCGCTACGCCTGGGGGGGCGGTAGGCTGGGAACGGCTCGGGACGCTGACGCTGGGGACTGGGAAGACTGGGAAGTGGATAGCGTGTCGCGCCGAGGCGTGGTGGGCCACAACTGGCGGAGCGACCCGATATTCAAAAGTTCCTGACCGCATGAGGGGGGAACTTGGGGCAGAAGGGTACACTGCAGCATCGTTGATACATCCTGGGTTCAGTCTGTTCATCCTTCGCCTCATCATCAGAATCATCCTCTGCTTTTGCCTCCTCCTTGTCGCCCGCGTCGACTCAACCTTCTCTGGCTCGACCCATCCTCCACCCCTTGTTATCCTCGTCATCCCCATCTGCATCCTCCTCCTACTCCTCGTGCTCCTCATCACCATCCTCATCCCTCACCTTCTCCTTCTCAATCCCCCTGATCCTCACACGCCCTCATCTTCCTCCTTGTCATTCTCCATCTTTTCCCCCATCCTCCGCCTCCTCCTCCTCCTCCGTCTCCGGTTCTCCTCCTCCTCCTCCTCCTCCTCGTCCTCCTCCTCCTCCTCCTCCTCCTCCTCCTCCTCCTTCTCCTCCTCCTCCTCCTCCTCCTCCTCCTCCTCCTCTTAACCCTCCACTTGAAGCCACCTCGCCGCACACGGGCCTCCGGGAGCAACACGGCAATCACCCTCCGCCACGATCCCAGCCATCCGGCCGAGAAGGCAACCGTCTCCCAGGCGTGTGCCAACGCGTCAGTGCTGTGCAACAGCCCCTGCTGGCCACAGGCAACACACGATCCTGGAACCGACACAGCAGGGAGCATCTCAGGGAAAGGGGAAGCGGAAAATGCATGGTACTCTTTCTCTCTCTCTCTCTCTCTTTATCTCTCTCTCTCTCTCTCTCTCGCGCTCTCTAGTCCTTCTCGTTCACGTCGCCCTCCTCCTCCTCCTCCTCCTCCTCCTCCTCCATCCTTCTCGTCTTTCTCTTCCTCATGCCACTCTATGGTCTTCGGAGCCGACCCACATGCCGCTGCGACAGGCTACTTCCCGCCCAGGCCTGCATCATCTGCATCTGCGCCTGCATCATCTGTGGCCTCAGCAAAGGACGGGCGGGGGGGGAGGGGAGGCAGACTACCACAACTAAATCAAAAAAGGGCAACGAGGAGGAAGAACTGAGTGCATGGCGCGTAGCGCCAATGCAGACTCCAAGTCTGCATTAGTGCTTCGCACCATGCACCCAGTTTCTGAAAGTTCCGACAAAGAAGAGCGTGTAATCGAGCAGACGACCATGTATGGGACTCGCCAGCTTAGCACCATAGTATCGAAAGGCTGAATCCAGGCTATGCAGCATTACTTCAGGAACTCACGCTGCGAAGCTTTGACCCCACCAGTTTTCTTGGCGTGTGGTTTAGAGAGATCGGTGTTCCAGCTCTCTTCTTCCCCCTTCGGGAAAGTGGCTATTGCGAGGTGTCAGAAGGTCTCGTTGTGCCCAAGATGGCTTGAAGGCGGCTCCAAATGGCCCAGGATGGCACCCAAGATGACACTATGTAGCCCAAGATGGCTCCGGGTAGCTTCCAGCATGCCTCCGAGAGGCCCCAAGACCACCCTCAGGTGGCTGCAGGCGACCTCTGAGGCTCCCCAGGACGCCCCCAAGTGGCCGAAGTGCTCCAAAATATCAGATGCTGGACATCTCATCTTTTCGCTTCCGATTGGCTTCGGAAACCTCAAAAAATCTTGGCTGCCCCCGTCCGCAACACGCAACCCGTAGCTCGCTGACGCAGAGCTTACCACGCAGACTGCAAGCGTACCGTCTGGCGCCACACGTTCGCCCAAGCGTGCGCCAACGCGTGCGTGAGAGGCGTGTTGAACACGGCACGTGTCGCGTTTCAACACGTGCGTACGGCACGTTCGTGCCGTGACGACCCCGGCGTTGGCTTCTGGCACCGCGCAAACCATTCAACCCTGAACGATCAGCGGCTTTTCGATCGCCAGCTCGTTTCACGTCGGCCGATTCTGGGCCACTGGCGGCGTTCAACCCTGAACGCCCGCGCTGGGGTCGCAGCCGCGTCGACAAGACACGAACCTACCGTACCAGGGCAGCGAAGCTCAAGATGGCCCCCAGAGAGGTGCACGAGCGCCACACGCATCCCACAGAGGCTCACGAGCGCCCCACGAGGGAGGAGGAGGAGGAGAAGGAGGAGAAGGACGAGGAGGAGGAGGGGGAGGAGGACGAGGAGGACGAGGAGGAAAAGGAGAAGGAGAAGGAGTAGGAGGCGGAGGAGGGGGAGGGGGAGGGGGAGGAGGAGGAGGAGGAGAAGGAAGAGGAGGAGGAGGAGGAGGAGGACGAGGAGGAGGAGGAGGAGGACGAGGAGAGGAGGATGAGAAGGAGGAGGAGGAGGAGAGAGAAGAGGGAGAGGAGGAGGAGGAGGAGGAGGAGGAGGAGAGGGAGGAGGGGAGGACGGGGAGGAGGAGAAGGATGAGGGGGAGGAGGAGGGGGAGGAGGGGAAGGAGGGGGAGGAGGGGGAGGAGGGCCAGCTAGGTGCGCTCGCGTCATATCTGTCGTCATACCCCTCCCTCCCAACCCTTACCATGGCGCAGATCTCCTCTTTATGCGCACAGGTGGATGTCGAGCAAGGCAATGATCTGGCGATGCATGGTAAGCCACGGCATAGCACGGTGCAGAAGAGCGCGGCCGAGCAGAACATGTCATAGCATGGCTTGGCATTGCGTAGTGTAGCATTTCATCACAAAGCGCAACATCGCAAAGCATGGCATCGCACAGCGGAGCACAGCGCAACATCGCATTGCATGCCATGGCATGGCACCGGATGCCTTGGAGGGTAAATGGCCCGTGTGCGAAAGGAGAAACCCTGTCCGGAATCCTGGCTCCATGCCCTGCGCAACCGTGCCTGCCCAGTGTGGGCGCTTTCGGATGCCAAATGCCGTCTGGTAGGGTTACTGTCCAGTAATAGGGTAAGGCCCCCCCCTTCCTTTCGACACGCTGCCTTGCGTTCCCCGAGCCCCCTTCCAAGTCTCCCTGGTCTCCCTGGACAGGTCTGCACGAGGCGTGGCGGATGGCCCGAAGACTTCCGGAAGCTCCAGGGAACGCATAGAAATTGCCGACGGCGACAACGACGCAGACGACGACGGCGGCAGCGGCGGGGGAAGCCGCGGCGGGCGAGGACGGATGTCAGGGAATAGTACGGCGGGCTGCCAGGCTCGATGTTCTGGCTTCCTCGATCAATCGGCTCACACTGGGCCCCTGGGCCTCTCACGGGAACAATCGGCATTTTCCAGCCGGATCGTTTTCTAAGGTCCCCGGGGAGGGGCTTCTACGGCTCAAAAAATTAACGAATCGACACCGAATGTGTAATCACTTCCGATGTTTTTTTCGGGGGGCATTTTTTAGATTCGGGGGTCGATTCAGAAGGACCGAAAACCATGCCGTGGCATGGCGCTGGAATTAAAGACGCCAGCGCTGCAGCGAGAGCACGATTCGGAACGAGCCGAAGCGCGGAAATGAGGCCAGCACGCGATTCGGAGGACGCGTAATTAGC